CAGATGGGTTGTTTAATAACTGACGATTATAACGTGCTTTAAACTCTCATTACGACCATCCTCTTGTAAGACCGAGCTTTCAGTGGGCGTAATACAGGTCAAGTCGTTTACGTTAATTGTAAAGGCCTAAGTAGCACTGTCCAGCCTCGACAATAACTCAACCAGTTTTTTGTCTCTTGTCAGTATACGTCCATTAACTTGTCAACACTTTTGTGTCATTTAATTATCAATGCACAAAATATGATTTGAAAATTTACATCGTATGATCATAGTAGTTTAGTTTTAATTAGGGCAAATTGCATTAAAAAGCAACGTACTTTAACTTGATTTCTATTTTAGGTAACGTACTTTCAAAACTTTCATTTTGGTACCTAAGATGTAAAGTTTTAAATGTTTAAGTATCCGGGTAACCGGTTGAAACATTAACCGATTAGATTAAGATATATATGTCAGCAAATAATACTGAGTTGGATACCACATCAGCATGGTAACCGGTTAATGCTTCAACCGGTTACCCGGGTACTTAAATGTTTGAAATTTTACATCTTAGATACCAAAATGAAAGTTTTGAAAATCCATTACCCAAAATAGGAATCAAGTTAAAGTACGTTATTTTTTCATGCAATTTGCCCTTCAAAAATTTACAGAAACTTAAGCAACTACTATCAAAAACCAAACTGATATTTTCTTGAAAACTTGACTAACCTGGTTCCCTTGGATCTCTAACAGGGATAAGATTTTCCCCACGTCGTGGTCCAAATGGTGCTCATCCTGACTGGTTGAGTCCTTGATTGCTGGTATAAAGATGGTTATGTTTACTTTATCTTCTATGTTTTTGTAGTATCCCTCTGATAATTCGTCAGTACACCTCTTTTTTCTCTGTTTTAACTGAGCGTAAGTCTTGCAAATCAGATATTTCATAGTTTTGTTAACTTTTTTCCTTGTTATAAAATTAATGTCTTCCAAAAAAATTCAAACCGAACATGAAACATGAACCCCATTATGTATTAATTAGAAAGTGTGAGAGGGGAAACATGAAGTCAAAGTGATGGGGGAGGAAGAGTGAAATCAAGATTAGTAACATGCCAAGATCCCCAACACATGAACCACAAGGCATGGCCATGTGCTCTTTCACTTATTTTACACACACACACACACACACA